TTAAGATGTTTTTTTCTGGGTAGCTCAGTACCTTGGAAGAATTGATAGTTGCTTTTTATCTTTCCTGCTGTTGTTCAGCTGCAGATTCTGTTGCTCCTTGGTTGCTTTTCTGTATCATAAAGCATCCCATAGATGGAGCAAGTTTTATTTGCAGTTCCAGGCAGACTTCAGTGGTAGTGGCTAGTGCTCCCCGAGGGGGCAGCTGGAGGTGGTGGGGTTTGGACCCACTCAGGCTTTGCAAAGTGAATGATTTTGGTTTTACCTTTGGAAGATGACTTCTGCACTGAGAATGTGGAGAGCACAATCAGCTGTTTTGGGGAGTATCTTGGATGTCTCTGCTTTTGGGCTTCTACATGAAAAGGTTCTACACCTCCTGATTCTTTTGACAGATCAGTGTCTCAGTACAGGGTGATGGGGCAGAGCCAAACTTACTTCTCTTGTGCTGATAGCTGAAGAAAGCAGAAAGTGTAGGGTTTGGGCCTTATGTCAGGCCCTAGCACAGCCTAAATAGAGTTCTGCAGTGATGACCTGGACTGTTGAGCTTTTGTAGAGATCAGCTCAGCCCAATGGACTTAAACATCAACACACAAAGGTGTGTTTAAACCCTGTGGCTCTTACACGGCTGCTTCTGGCTCCTGGAGACCACTTCCAGCTGCAGCTGTGTGCTCTGGACGTACGAGGGTGTCACAGCTGCGTGACATGCGTGGCTGCAAAGTCATCCTGGCATCAAGAAAAGATAATTGCTGCATATAAATGACTAGGCACCTTTGACTTCCTTTCCCTGTTGACACTCCAGGGAAGATGTCTGCTGCCTGGGGAGCTTACTCCTTCCACCTGGAGCTGGAGGCTTGTGGTGTTTTAAAAGGATCTCTTCACCTCTGAGTTCCAGGAGCATTGAGGTGCCTCCAAAATTTGTATGTTCCAATAGACAGATGGGAGTTTAAATTGTTTTCTGTATTGGTAGCACTGGAAGGATCTGTGGAGAGCTGACTTCATGAATTGTCCTGAGTAATGACTGAGCTGTTTCGTAGCAGAATAAACTCAGCTGTGGAGTTGACATATTGAATTTGCATCTACCCAGATACTCAGTCTGAGGTATGGTGGAAGCAGGAAAGTGGACTTGCCCATCAGAAATGGCAGGCTGTGTGTGGTGGTGTAGGAGCAATGCACAGGTGCCTGCTGAGAAGACAAAGTGTATCCTGCAGTGGTAAACTTCAGATGAATTTGTCAAGCTGTAAATGGCATGATTCTGTGCACAGAGGATTTGCATCTACAAAGGTGGTCCTTGCATTCTGGAGTGTTCTGTACTCTGCAAAGGGTAGTCTTGCAGTAGAAACTTGGGTCAGAGTTGTGCTGTTATACTGGTAGACCTCATTTTACCTCAAAGAACACATTGCTGGGGCATCTTTAAGCATTAAGTGATCGTTCTGCTTGATCAGAGAGCCATTGTATCACTGCTCCACGGGGAAGCAGAGCCCATTACTTGCTTGGAAGCACTCTGTTAGCAATCTGTTTGCTTGATTAGGTTGGTCCTCCCCATTCCTTGGTCCGTGCCAGTCCATAGTAGTAGGAAGCCCTCTAAGGGGTAAGTTGGTTTAGTTGTCTGTGGGAGATAGTGGGGTTAAGCATTGGAGTTCAGTAGGCTGCATGGTGGGTGAACTAAAACCCAGCAAAAGCAATTTTTGGATGAAAGGGAGCTTTAAACTGCTCATGTTTTAAGTTGCTTCATGTTCTGTTACAGACTGGCCTTTTTTGACAGCTGAAAGTGAAGAGATGAGCAGTAACTCTTACTGCCCACTGGTTCAAGGGGTCCAAGTCTAAATTTATTTTACTATAACTAGCAAAAATCCAAACTTAAATTCTGAGGAGCACAGCCTTGTACTGCTGTCCTTGAGTGGAAGACTTGAAGGGACACTGTCAAATGATCCCAGGAGAGCAGCTTGGCCTGTGGTCCTACAGGATGAGTAGGCCAAGGTGTAAACCAACGTCACTTTGCTGGCCTGTGTAGTTACTCAGCCTTGATTTTGAGGTTACAAAACTTTGTCAACTCATTCATTGCGATATTTCCTTGCAGATGAAGGTGCCTTGGCAGTTTTCTCTGTTCCAGTGTTGGTTTTAGCTTCTCTGATGTGTCAGGGAACTCCTGGACACCACTGATGTTCTTAAGGATTGCTGCCTCTGTCCTCTCCCACCTGGCTCCTTAAGCTCTGTGAGGAGGTGCCTTTTTCCAAGGAGGTTTTTGGAGTGGTCTGGAGGCTGCTTGTGTTGGTTGGTCTAAAACTTGTGTGTATATGCAGTGTTCTGCTGGAAAACCTCAGGAGAAGCTTCCTGAATTTATTTTGGACAGAGAGCTGGGCTCAGCAGGCTGTTAAAATTAAACCAGTTTAGACAATACCATTAAAAATTTTCTTGCTGAGGCTCTACAGATAAAAAGGGAAATATGAAGTAACCAGCGAGAGCAGACCTAATGAAGAATAGCTTTGATTAATGAAGAATTACAAAAATAAAGCAGCTGAATGTGGCACTGCAGCTTGGAGCCAAATTGTTGTGTCCAAATTTATTTGGTGTTTCTAGAGTGATGCTGTTTATAAAATAAGTGAACTGCTGATGAATGAAATCAGGAATGTTTTCTGAAGTGACTGGATTGACAGCTCATGATGGGGAAGCATTTAGGTATGGAGCGAGTGCTGAGGAGCTTTGTAAAGAGTGTTGGCGGCATGGAGGGTTTTTTTTCCACTGGTCACCGAGTGAAAATGCTCCACTCATCTTGCTCAGCTGTAAACCAAGAACTTAAAACTTCCAGAAGGGGACAGGGGTTCCTGTTTCCTTTCAGCATGGGAGGTGCTGTCCAAGGCACACCTGAACCTTCTGGACAAATGCCAGGGGTGGGCAGCTTCTGCTCTGGAGGACACACCACGCCACACCATGCTGGTTGTCCCGCCTGTGCTGGCCACCAGCTGGCCATCTCCTTAGCCTGGTGGGCAGGGCTTGCAAGGCTGACGTGCGAGGTGTATGAGGAGGAATTCCCACGTGGGACCATGAGAGAAGTCCTTGGTTATTAAAGGCCTGTGGTAAGATAAAACTTGAGGGAGTAGTTATGATAGTTGACCAGAAAACTTCAGTTGGATTTCTGGTGGCTTCTGGTGTAAGGGAGGGGACAGAATGTTTGGTGTTTGACTCATCCTGTCAGCCAAAGAACCTCCAGTGGCAGGAGCAGTGGAGTCACAGAGAAATGAGCTACCGGAAGACAGCTGGAGGAATGACTGTTTTGAAGCTAAACTGACTGGCAGGAGCTGGTGTAAGGCAGCAGAGAGGTTCCCGTTACTGAACTCAGAGTTCTGCGTGGTGTACCCGGGGGACAAAACCCACTGCTGGAGCTGATGGCAAGTGCTGCAGGTCCCAGACATGCTGCGTGCCCTGCAAAGGGGCAGCAGGTCAGGGCTAGTGGCCTCTGTGTGCCTGCAGCACAGACTTAGTCTTCATGCTCTGAAGTTCTGTTCTGAGAGGTGCTTGAACAAATGATCTGAGTGTCAGTTGACAGTAGAGGATAATTAAGCTCTTGACTCTTCAACACGTGTAAAGTAGAAAATCAGGAAAAGAAGGGGTTGTTTTTAAGAAAAAGAAATGTTCCCTCAAGTCAAGAACAGTTGATTGCTAAACCTGTTCTAGCAGCTCTTGACTTGCATTTGATAATTCATTAGTGAAGGCTCTACAGAAATATGGAGAAACTGAACTCACTGGGTCTCAGGGGTCTTGGTGCTCTCCTCACTGAGCACCCAGCTCAGTTGGGGCACAGCAAAGCTTTCCCTTTTGTGCCAGGTTAAAGCTTCTCCAGTTGCAGAGAACGTCAGCCCTGTTTGTCCCTTCTCCCTGCCTGCATCTAGCTGATTATGTTTTGTGGCCTCTGTTTTAACCCATCTGAGAACCAGTAAAATAGTTGTGGAGTGTGTGCTGTTCTCCTCCAGCTTCCAGCTGCTGCCTCAGCACAGTAGCTCTGCCTCCACCTCCACAGTGCAGCAGCAGCTGATGGGAGTTTCAGCAGACTTGGGTTTAGTGCCTTCAAACCTCTCACTGCTGTCAGCTCCAGCATGGTGGAGGATGCACTGTGACACCTCTGCTGTGGGTGAAGGGACGTGCCAGGTGACACCACTTGATAAAAACATGCTGAGATAAAGCAACACCAAGCAATGTTTGGTGTTTCTTGGGGGGACAGGATGTCCCTGATGTGCCTCACGTCATGCTGTCCTAATAGACTTTGTGTATAACTTAGTCCCTTCTCATCTCTTCTACTTGGGTGTGAATGCAGGGATGTGCACTTGCTATTTGTAGCTTTGCAGTGGACTCCTGGCTCCTTACAAGGGTGAAGGTTGATGCTGCACAGTGACATTGTATGAGTGGGATGTGTATGGTGTATATTTATAGTGAAAGTGTAAAGTTCAGGCCTGGGTGGCTGGTAACAGTGCAGTAAGATGCACTTTCTTGGTTGATTCTAATCAAACCTCATGCTCAAAAAATAATTGGACAAAGCCTTAGAACTCTCTGCAAGACTAGTGGGTTTTTTAACAGTTCCTGAGCAGCTCTTGCTTGCTTCATGTCAGTTGGACCTGTCTGCTCTTTGACCTCTTCTGATGAGAGCTTCTGCAAGTCCTGAACGGTTGTCAGGTTTAGGGAAAAGTTGAATTTCAAGTGCAGAAGCAAGGATATGTTCTGAGGTAGCTTTCAGGTGTGGCTCCACTTCTGCCTCAGGACCTAAGGCTGTACTCAGATAATTTATCCAGGAGGTTTCCTGTTGTCGTGGCCACACAGAGCTGTGTGGTTGCAGAGCGAGGGGTTCCTGTTAGGAATGACTTGGCTCAAGTATGTGGGGTTGCTGCTCCTTGGCATTTTCTTTAAAATGATGCTAATGCTGATGGCTCAAGGGGAGGGAGGTCTGTGAGCTGACTTCTACCTGTCTTCAGCTGCACTTAACTCTAATTCAGTATCTATTTTTCTCTCCCTAGTACTTTTGTCCATCTGTTCTCTGTTGTGTGATCCAAATCCAGATGATCCTTTAGTGCCTGAGATTGCACGGATCTACAAAACAGATAGAGAAAAGTGAGTATGGAAGCCAAAAAACATGTAATGTTCTTGATAGAGCAGAATCCACACTTAAGTAGTAAAGGCGAACTGAAAGCACCTTGGAAAGGTGTGAACTTTGATTTGCCTTTTTCACTTTTAGCTGTGGTCTTCTTAGAGATTTTTTCCCGTGGGATCAGTAGTACTGCTGTCAATGTTTACAAATATCTTAAGGATGGGGGTCAAGAGGATGGGGCCAGACTGGTGTCAGTGGTGCCCAATGATTAGATCCAGGGGCAGGGAACACAAACCAAAACCTAGGAGGTTCCACCTGAATGGGAGAGATAAACTTCTTTCCTGTGAGGGTGACAGTGCCTCGAGCAGGCTGCTCAGAGAGGCTGTGGAATCTCCTTCTCTGGAGAGATTCCAAACCTGCCTGAGCACCCTGCTCTAGGTGACCCTGCTAAAGCAGGGGGGCTGGACAAGATGGTCTCCAGAGGGCTTTTTACAACCCCCACCGTGCTGGGATTCTATCTCCACAGCACCCCATTGCTGTAGAAACAGGTCTGTGTGCCAGCAGAAGTGAAGGACATAGAGACCTTGTACTTCTGTGCTTTTATACATCCCACACAATGGCCTTTCATTAGTGTTGTAGCTGTTAATTACAGGTTTGCTTGGTTTAATGGAGATGTGCACAATGCAGATCTGTTTCATACGGAGCTCTGAGTGGAAAGTGAGCAGCTCTTAAGAGCCTTCCCTGCCTGCTCTAATACTGCATAACCAGCAGAGGGAGAACAAGCCTCTCCAGTGGAGAGTGTTGCCGAGCTAGCTCCTGGGGATGCACTCACACAAGCAAAGGAGTAACAGCAATGCCCTGGTTCACCCTCATTTGCCAGCATAAGGGGAGAACAAGGGGTGTGGAGGTGGGGTGGGAGCACTCCAGGCTTCTGTGAAGCAAACAGCAAGAGTGGAGGGAACTCCAGTGCTGCTGCCTGCTTCAAAAACAACAGCTTAATGACTGTTGTAAACACTTCTCTACCTCACTGTTCCCTTCCAGATCTGATCGGTAGTGTTAATTTCTGAAGCTACATGATCATCTGATGAGAACAAGATAGGAAGGGAAAATGATCCACAGGCTTGGTTACTCTGCTGCATGCTTGAGGAGCAGTGTTAGAGGAGTTCCTACGTCTTGGTTTTAATGACCTACAGGAGTAGCAGTACATATTTTGAGGCACAGCTGACAGTGACTGCACTTGATGTATGCAGGACTCTTTCCCAGGTTTTTCCAAAACTAAGGATATAAATTTTGCTCTTAAACATAACCGGACTCGCTTCTGGAGTAGTCTCTGAGGAGTGATGTGAAGGCAAAAGCAGTTGTTGTGAGCGGATTGTCAGATTCCTTAAGCTAAAAAAAAAAACAATTATAGACTAACTTCCAACACAGAGACCTAGTCTGTGTGTACAACTAGGAGATATGTTGCTATAAGCATCTTACGCTTTTTCTACAAATTAGAAAAACATTACAAATCAGTAAAAGTACTGCTAAAAGTTTTTCTGATGCTAGAAGGCAAGTTGCTCTTGGTCACAGCAGCTGCTTCCTTTTACAGAAGCGTCCTGAGCTTCCTCTAGCAGTGGCTTTGGCTATAAAGGGCATTGGGGTGCAGAAGCTGCAAGTGGCTTAAGACATGGAGCACAGTGTGCCATCAGGATTAAAAAAATCTGATGTGTAAACTGTGTTCTGAGTAGTCACTGGAATAGTGACGTGTAGGTTGTAGCCAGAAACAAGCCTGTTGGGGTATGATAGCTTAGCAGGTACCAAGCACTGAACTTTGTCAGGGAAGAAGAGCAAGGTGGGAGAGACACATTCATCTCTTTTTTTCCAGAATATCAAAATGAAACCCCTCAGTAACAGTTCCCTCAGGGCTGCAGTAGTTGGGGGTTGAGAAGCTTCCTGACAAGGCTTTCCCCTCGGCCCTGTGCTAGCTCATTTGGGACTTGAATCACAAAGATCTTGTGTTCCTGTTGTAAATGAGGAGTCATTTCATCTCCACAAAGTCCCGTGGGCTTCCTTGTTTCCTGTTTGCTTGATATTTCGGTTTGCTCTTAAATTTTACAAATGGATGATGCTACTGGAGAGAAGGTTAAGTTTGTACCATGCATAGACTAAACTACTGGAGTGGAAACACTGTTGTGATGCTCTATTAAGTAAATCCTCTTTTTATACATACAGGTACAACAGAATAGCTCGAGAATGGACACAGAAGTACGCCATGTAACTAAAGAAATTATTGGATAACCTCTACAAATAAAGATAGGGGAACTCTGAAAGTCCTTTTGATTTCCATTTGACTGCTTTCTATGAGCCCACGCCTCATCTTCCCCTGTGCACATGTTTACCTGATACAGCAGTGCTGCGTGTTGTACATACTTGGAACAACAAAATAGAAATACTGTATTTTCCCCGTACCAACATTGACTCCTAGCAGAGAAGTGTGTGTGTGAAAAGCTGGTTCTTCAGTCATAACTTTGTGAGCCTAAAAGCATTCCCAGTTGATTTAAATTGGGTAATAAAACGTGAGCGGGAGAGTTGCGGTGGGTTCCATGTTTCTTGGGATGGTGTTGCTGATCCGGGATGGGTTTTCAGTGGAATCCTTTTAAACTCATAACAGTTATGAAAAGCAAGGTGAAGAACTTGAAGCTGTTTCTGTATTCATTTTATTCTGAAGGACCTCCACCTTAGGTAAATGTTATGACCAATGAGATAAACTGTACCCACATCCTGTGTTTAAGGTCTAAGTTTAACCGGTCAACATTTAAATGGATTGGAGCTATTAGTGCATCAAGTGATGTTGATTTGTTTCAACTCTCTCCTTTCCTTCATACTTCTTTTGGTTTGTATGTGGTTTCTCAGTTAATACATAGCTAATAGCTCTTATTTTTCTTAATTTTTTTAACTGCTTAGGTCTTTCTGGATGTAAGGGTAAAAATCCATTTGACGGAAAACGTGTGTATATTTAAAGACCCAGCTGCTCCCCTGGAGCTTGTACGTTCAAGAATGATTAATCTGTGTAATAAACTGATTACTACAGTCATTACATATAACTTTGTGTGAATAGGCTTTTAATTTGAAGAGCAGTTTGTTACAGGCTCAGAGTTAACGACGGATTTCTCTCAAAGCCCCGCGTTGGCGAGCGGTCGCATTCGGAGGTCGTGGAGCAGTTTGGTTTGCATCGCACGAGGCCGTGCACCTGGAGGAGACAAACATCAGCTTGAGCACTTGCCCGAGGTCAGGATGTGTAGTGTGCCAGGGACTTGACTGTTAAACCAAATCAGCAGCTCACTAATCGAGAGCCCGAGTGACAAAGCCTGACGGTATTACTCCCACTTGCATGGGACCTAACACAATGCATATGTACTGTAGGTAAGTGAAACCTTCTGTAACTAAAATAATGGATGTAAAAGGGTAAAAAAGAAAAACCAACAAAACCGACCTACCAAACACATCAGCACAAACTTTCATAAAATGTAGCTTTTACATAATTACTTTGCACTAAACATTTGCAAATGTTCATATGGTTTTAAATTGTACGTGTACGTGTCTTTTTTTTGAACAAAGTCTTCACTTGAATCTAGTGGAAAAAATGTAGTTTGAAACTTTCTTTGTATACAAGTGTATTTGCCAGCATCGTTGGTGTGACAGTAGGTGAGTCTGCAAGTTTATCTCCTCTAGTAGAATTGTAAACAAAGCCATCGAGCGAGGTAGAGGCCGTGGCCTCCAGCCGCCCGCCACGGGGTCTGTCCCGCCCATTTTCCATCTTTACACTCTTGCACAAACGAGGAATAAACGTCCACTGCTTTTGGTCTAAATCTGTCCCACTTGTCTCATCTCTAAGTGTCCTTGTGTATGCAGTGCTGGATGTTTGCAGATGACACTGAACTGAAGGGGAGAGTTGATCTGCTGAGGGGTTGGGAGGCTCTGCAGAGGGATGTGGACAGGCTGGATCCTTGGGCAGAGGTCAAGGGCAAGGGCTTGGTCCTGCCTTAGGGTCACAACAACCCCCTGCAATGCTCCAGGCTGGGAGAAGAGTGGCTGGAAAGCGCCTGGCAGAAAAGGACCTGGGGGTGCTGGTGGTCAGCCAGCTGGAGAGGAGCCAGCGTGTGCCCAGGTGGCCAAGAAGGCCACCAGCATCCTGGCCTGGGTCAAAACTAGTGTGTCCAGCAGGAGTAGGGTAGTGATGGTGCTCCTGGACTCAGCACTGGGGAGGCCACAGCTTGAGTCCTGGGGTCAGTTCTAGGCACCACAGTTTAAAAAAAAGACCTTGAGGGGCTGGAGCCGGTCCAAAGAAGGGAAAAAAAACTGGTGAGGGCTCTGGAGAACGTGGCTTATAAGGAGCAGCTGAGGGACTTGGGATTGTTTAGCCTGGACAAGAGGAGACTGAGGAGAGACCTTACTGTGCTCTGAAACTTCCTGAGAGGAGGCTCGAGTGAGGTGGGGATTGGTCTTTTCTCCCAAGTAACCAGCAATAGGATGAGAGGCAATGGGCTGAAGTTGCACCAGGGGAGGTTTCGACTGGATATTAGGAAGAATTTCTTTCTTGGCAGAGGGGTGAGATATTGTCCCAGGCTGCCCAGGGAGGTGTTGGAGTCACCATTCTTGGAGGGCTTCAACAAATGTGTGGATGAGGCACATGGTGACATAGTTTAGTGGTCATGGGAGTGTTGTGTTGACAGTTGGACTTGATGATCTTAGAGTCCAACCTTGATGATTTCATGTGACTACTAGTGGTGTTTCTGGGAGTCCCCTGCAGCGAGCTGTAGGTGGTGCTGGGATCTGTGGTGGGCACCATGACCACTGCTCTGGCAGCGTGAGGAGGTGCCATGGGGATGGCGGCTCTGAAGTGGGGCAGCATGTGGCTGTGTTCCCTGGCTGGGGGATAGACTGGGGTGACAGACACAAGGGAAGGGGCAAAACACCGTGTGCGGGAGGGGTGAACATGGCTGTTGGGTCATCTTAACTCTTGAGGTACACCACAAGGTGTTGGTTATGTGGTGTTTCTGGAAGAGAGCAGAGACCTGTACAGGAGAGAGTGAAGGGAGCAGTGACCAGTGGGGAAGTGAAGCATGAGGGTTTCCAGTGCTGCTGGGGCAGGAGCCACCTGTAGACAGGCAAGTCCAGGAATTGAGATGGAGTCCTGAGTGCTGTAAGAGCTTCACCTTGGCTCCTCTGCCAGCACACCTTCTCGTGGTGGGATGATTAGCTCGTGCTGGCAGTGGAGGGTTTGTTTCAATGAGTCAGAGCTTCTTCTTGATGGTGTGACAGAAGTTGTGGCCCAGCAAAAGCTGGGGTGGTGATCCTGAGGCAGGGAGCACACGTGCTGTCCCTCATGTGGGCTGACCAGTTGTTGGGGGTTGTACCTGTGAACTAGATGAAGGAGCCTTTTTTTGCAGGATTTAACTGAAAATCTGGTCCAGTTTACAACGCTATTTGGGACCAGGAACTTGCTCTTTGGGAGCCATGTGCTGTGTATGTTCCAGTGTAAAGCAGCACAAGAAGCTGGGGGCTCTGGTTGTTGCCTTTCTAGGCACTCTGAACTTGCCACATCAGGAAATTTTTCAGTCCTTGTCCTGTTTTGTTTGTTTGGTTTTTGCTTATTCTTGTTTGGTCTTTTTTTTCTGTGGTTTGTTTTTTTTTTTTATTTTGTATTTTAAGTTAACTACTTCCCTTTGTGTGGCTTTCTTTGTGCTGGGACTTGTGACTTCTAGCTCAGTACCAAGTGTGCAGGAGTCACCAGTAGCTTACCCATCACTGTCTCCCAGTCCAGTGTCCACAGAGCTGAATTCTGGGCAGCGTGGAGACCTGACGCTGTGCTCAAGATCTCTTTGGTGCCATGTGCTGCTGCATTTCTTTCTTAGCTTTCTTGGCGATGCAAGAGCTGCTTTTTACAATGGTTTTTGTTGTGGTTCTTGCCTTGCTATCCCAATGCTTTTGAGCAGGCTGTGTGGGGACGTGTCTATGGATGTTTCTGTGCAGTCTACGCACATCGAATGGTGTGGAAAACCCAGCAGGACTAAGCTGGAGATGATCCTGTGTCCCTGGTGTGCTCAGTAAAGCACACTGCCCTGTCCCTCGCCACTGCAGGCTGCAGCTTTCCTCGCTTGTGGTAGCCCCAGCTGCTGGTGGAAGGACGTGGCTGTGTTTTGTGACAGTCTGAGTCATCCTCCTTCTGTTCACAGCAGCGGAGCAGGGCTAGAGGTGTTCTTGCTGCCGGTTCAGATGTACAGGAGAAGATCAGAAGCCCAAAGGAAGGACAATGGGAAGTGCTTTGCCCAGTTAAAGATGGATTTCCTGGTGCCCTGAGCAGCTCTTGCTGGGGTGGAGTCCTGGGTGTCTGGCACATGGCAAGGAAAACAAGTTGACTCATGTGTCACCTTGCTTTAGAGAACCAGGATAAAGCTAGAAACCACCTCTGAGCATGTCCAGCACTTCCACTTCCAGGCTGTGCTCTGGGAGTAACTGGGGCAGGTTTGCTCTCATCTCTCCAGTGTCTAGGAAACCTGCTTCTGTCTCCTGCAGACAGCTAGAAAAGTTTCACCTCCCCAGTTACTGCTTCCTTCTGTGATCCAGTTCTACACCATCCTCTGCTCAGCCATCTCCAGTCATCTGTGTTTTTTTAGCCTCCTGTGAAGCCTGACTTGCTCCCTGAACATGGGCAGTGATGCATGGGCCATGTGGAGTAGCCTTGGTCTGCTTGCTCCTTGTAGACGTGCACATGCTCTCACCAAGCCCAGCACTGTCCTCTTCTTTGGAAACTGTGATTTAATAGCAAGCTTGGTGGTAGTTTGGTTTCATGGCAAGCAGCTGCCAACTCTCATGTCCTCGATTCAGTGACCTCACTCTTAGCTCTGGGATCAGTTCTGGGACAAGAGCACAAGGCAGGGCTGATGCTGGAGGAGACCAGGAGCCATCTTGGCTGGTCAGGGCTTCCCACAACTTGTGGGTTACCCTTTTGGCTTCCTCTTCTTTGAGTGTGGCATCCTTCATTCTGAGGGTGGAGAGACACTGACACAGGTTGCCCAGGGAAGCTGTGGATGCTCCACCACTGGAGGTGTTCAGGACCAGCTTGGATGGGGCTTTGAGCAACCTGGTCTAGCTGAGAGGTGTCCCTGCCTATGGAAAGGGACTTGGACTCTGATGATCTTTAAGGTCTCTTCCAACCCAAACCTTTCTATGATCTACAGGTTTGGTTTTATTGTATTGCTGCCTCTCAGCATCCCTCTCCTTTCCTTCCTTGCGTGAGAATATTTAGGTTTTATTGTCATATGCTTGGGTCAAAGCGTCTCAGGGTGGCTGGGGACCAGATGCATTCACAGTTCTTGCCCTTTCCTGAACAAATGTATTTATCCATAAAATGGAGATTGATTATAAATATCTCAGAGTTGCTGGGTAAAAGATTTATCAGCGAGTTTATCCCAGCCAGTGGCTCGGCTCTGTATACCCTTCTTCCTTGCCCCAGCTATGAAGAAATCCGCACACTGATGGAAGCTCTCGCTGGTCTGGAGCTTCTTGTAGATAGTGGTGGATCAACTGAGCCTGCAGAGCAGATTCAGGATGGAACAGGGAAGGATTGGGTTGAAAGAGCCAGTCACAGGGGCTAGGTGAAAGTCAGCATTTGGAATAAGCTGGGAACTCGTGTTCCTTGGGTCACTGCAAACACCAGTGTTTTTTCCTGGGCTCTGTGGTGCCTTCCTACTTAGGAGAAATCATGCTATCAGCACTGGAGGTCAGCTAGACCCTTCTTCCTCCAACAGCAACCAAAATAACAGGCCTATGTGAGATGAAACAGAATGGGCAGGTGTGATGCTTGTCTTCACTTGCTTCCAGCTAAAGGGCTTCCAGAGGGACATGTGGTTTCTACAGACCCCCTGGTTATCTTGGACAGAGTTCTGTGGGCAGAGTTCTGTGAGCATGTTCTCTCTGTCCTTACCTTTGTGTAGTCTCTTCTTGTTTATCCATATTGTCTGTGTGGAGTAGTTCAGTGGTGCTAGTGATGACTGCAGGGGTTGGGGGAAGGGGTTGGCATGGTCAGCCAGGAATGTTTGGAGAGAGAAACTTGGGTGACTTGGAACAGCCACAGCAGTTACAGCTGGGTTAAACCCGAATTGCTGTTAAACTTCTGCCCTAGAAAACTGTGATGCCCATCGTGGAGAAGTATTTTTTTTCTTAACTGAAGGTCAATGCAGAGGGAGGAGCTTCCAAAGCCTGCTGGAAGGCAGGCTGTGCCTGGAAACCCTGCCCTTGGCTGAGGGCCTGGTCCACTTCTCCTCCTGTTTGGTGAATTTACAGTCTGCAAAGACAGAAAATTTTGCAGGGCTTTTTTTCTTGCTGGTCTTTGATGTCTTTTTTTTTTTCAGAAGACAAGTTAGTTTGTGGAGTTTTGAAAGGTTTTTAGTTTGGTATTACAGGTGGGTTA